AACAATCAATGATTGTTGTTGATGTTGACAACATACGATGATGATTATGATGATGATTGATGATGATGATGATGACGATGATGATGACGATGATGATTGATGATGATGATGATGATGATGATGATGATGATAATGATTTTCTGTCTATTAGGCATCTATCAGAGAAGAGGACGTCGATGTATATACAGGAATATTCAACACCAGGAAGCCTATCATGCTCAGGGTCCAAGTCCGTTCAGACGAGTAAGATGGCAAAGACTCAGTGTTCTCAGAGCCTGACAGCGCAGACATCCGCATCATCCAGTGTATTACCTCCCTTGTGTTACATTAAAACCAGGGACCATTTCACCAACGTGGCTTCGGTTTTAGTGCCAAGCTAAATGGCTGCCCAATTTAATGACATTTTTTTTAATTCATTGAAACAAGACGCGATATCACTGGTTTGAATCTCATGCGTCCGACCATCTTTTATATATGCCAACAGCTGGTTGCAAGCAACTTAATTCCTTTTAGCTGTCTAATTATTGAATAAAACAGTATTTTGCCAATTCATTTACAACAGCGTTCGGTGTGGGTTAAATGAACTGAAGAGCATGTGTAAGCCCGAATATAGATCTTTGCCAAACTTTGTTAAGAAGAGTGACTTTCATTACGCTCATGAGCGAGAGACATTCTATGCTAGGCTGGTGGTAAATACATGGTACTGGAGACGTTACTCAAAAGTTGTTGTCTCACATTTTTTTATATTTCCGTAGATATTTTGTCATCCGTTTATAATACCTAACAGAGAGAATGTATTCCGTTGGGGATTAACAACCCTTGACTTAACTTGTACACGCGATGTTTTAATCCACGTTCAATATCTAGCACATGTGTATCAGTAAGGCACTAAGTTATCTGTCTGTGTCTCAAAAGTAGGGTCTATACTTGAGAAATGATAATGATACGTCAAATTCGGTTTGGTAACATGGATTGTATATATTTCAATTATTTTCTAAATTTAGAGTTTTTCTCAATTACTTCGATTATATTATATTTAGTTTATAGTTTTCTAAAATATATTTAAATTACCTTTTCTCGTTATATTAAAGTAATTTCTCGGAATTTTGAGTTTGTTTTCAATACTTTGATTTAGCTTTCAGATTGCGCAGGATTTTGATGATGACTTATTACATGAGACTAGAAGTGTATATTCTTTGTTTTAATAAAAAAAAATATAAATATTAACAAACTTCCCAATTTTTCTTGTCCCATGTGGCCAGTGCAACTGCGTCGCGTTCGTGGAGTTTAAAGATGCACCTAATGAAAGCACACGTGTTCCAATTCCTGGAAGTATGGAATAATTCTGTAACTGTAACATTTGTAACTGTGTTTCTCGTCTCCAACTTAACCAGCGTGAGTTAGTGAGTTTTTTACACCGCTTTTAGCAATATCACGGCGGGGAAACCTGAAATGGGCTTTTACATTGCACCCATGTGGGGAATCGAACTCGGGTCTTCGGTGTGACGAACGAACGCTTTAACCACTAGGCTACCCCAACGCCCTCAAACAGCAAGCAAAAACGGACAGACGAACAGAATGATGAAAATAAAACAATGTTTTCACTAATTGTGTGATTTATTTCATGAAATTGTTAACTTTCGATCACTTGATGAAAGTCTTTCAGACAATTCAGGTTGAGTCGCTTTGCTTGGGAAACAATATTTTAATAAAATTAATTTTAATTTTAATGTAGATGAAGAAAAATCAGGTTGGCCTGGAGTGGGCATTTCATGCACACAGGAAAGTGCTATATATACTAGGCACATAAAGAAAGTGTGCATACAAAAATTTAAAATCTAAATTTATCAAACCTGTGTAGACACAACAGGATTTAAACTCAGAGATTAGTGACACGTATCCAACATGCAAGCACGTGCCACGTTCCGTGACGTCAGTGGGTTCGTCCTTGAGACGTGCAATACGTTGTTGCAAGTGCATTCCGGGAAAGAGAAACAGAGCAAATGAATGCCACACAATACTGTCACTTTGGAAAGCTCAACCCCTGCCTTTGCGATCGTTCAAAAAATTAAACGGCTATTGAAACGCATAGCATGCCAAGGCTCACGTCTGCACAACGTCATGAGGCCATTGGGATGGTCCGTGGGGGAATGTCTCAACGACAAGTGGCTGCACATTTCCACTGCCACCGGAACACCATTTCTGCACTGGTGAGACGCTACCAGAACACAAATGACGTCATCGATCGGCCACGTTCTGGACGTCCACGTGTAACAACGCCAAGACAGGACATATGGATAAGGGTGACCCATCTTCGCCACAGGTTTCAGACTGCAGTGATGACTGCCCGAACCATCCCAGGACTTCGCCGTATCCACCCCAACACAGTTCGACAACGTTTACGTCATCACGGAATCAGACCACGACGTCCCGCCATACGGCCTATCCTGACACAACGTCATCGACAAGCTCGCCGAATGTGGTGCCGAAATCATGTCCGCAGACTCTTGTTTTGGTGGAGAAATGTTGTTTTAACAGATGAGTCCAGGTTTAACATTTCCCATAGTGAGGACGTCAACGTGCCTATAGACGCGTGGGAGAACGTTATGCACAGGCCTGTGTCTTGGAGAGGAATCGCTTTGGTGGTGGTTCCGTGATGATTTGGGGTGGAATAACAGCACGCCAAAGAACTCCTTTGGTGATTGTTCAGGGCAACTTAACTGGTGTGGGCTACAGGGATCAGATTCTTCGACCTGTGGCAATTCCTTTTCTGCAACGTCATGGCCCTGGGTTAACATTCCAACAGGACAATGCCCGCCCTCATACGGCAAGGGTTGCTATGGATTTCTTGCAACACCACAACGTTGACTTACTGCCTTGGCCTGCAAATTCACCGGATCTCTCCCCGATAGAGCATGTTTGGGACGAGATGGATCGACGTCTACGCCGTCTTCCTCATCCGCCACATAACGTCCTTGACCTTGCAACAGAACTTGAGAGAATCTGGCGTGACATCCCACAAGCCTTCCTTGCACGTTTGATAGGCTCTATGCGTCGTCGATGCACTGCTGTTCTCAATGCCGATGGTGGACATACTCGTTATTGAGCTTGTGACATGGTCGTTCGACCCCTGTCCCGCTTGTGGACTCGTGACGTCATTGTGATTGACTTTTCAATTGAAATTCTCCCGACTTGTTATGGTCTCATGATCCCTCCATTAAAGTTTATATGTACCTTTGACATTGTTATCATACTTATCAACTGGGATAATATTTTGACAATGCACAGTTTCTTTATGTGGCTAGTATATGAAAGACAGTCGGACAGATAGACAGACAGTTTATTTACATGTGGCCAAAAGGCCAATAATACACAGCAAAGTGCAACAGCATGTTAGGCACTGACAGTCTTTTTGTATATATGGCTAAAGTCAAGTAGTAAAGAGAAAAGTGTGACATGGAGGCACTGAAAGACAATTTTATTCGCATATGTTCCCAAAAGGCCTATAGGACATCACGTATACAACACCATCGCACTGTACAATCATATCGCAGATTCATCAACAATAAGAAAAGGAGGCGGTTGGTTTGTTTTGATAAATGACAAGAGCTTTGTACAACAACCTGACTTCAAACATCTGGTTTGAAGGGAGTCCGTACTTTCTATTTCACAAGTGATCGGTGTCAGCTGCAAGATTAAGAATTTTACATAATGCAGGAAAGAGTACCCTCGTTATTTTATGAGCAATGAAATACTTTTGTCAAAACGAAAGATACTATGATTCGAAAGAGCTCCAAACCAGTTTTGAGGGGAACATTTCTTTGAGAGGCATTAAGAAGATGGAGCAGTAAAGAAGGATAACAAGATATGGATGAACAACTTCTTTCTGACAATAAAGAAGTTGTTCGTCCATATATCGTTCTCCTTCCTTGAGTGGAAAATGTTCAAACATCTACCATTTTAAAAAGCTGGGACTGAATATTCTTAAAATTAAAAAACCGATATATATGTAAAAACATTTGGTTGGTGTTTCTGATAATCAAATCAATGGATAAATCAAAATACTAGCAGATGGTATCGAAATTCACATACCACTATTTTTTACGAGGGGGGACCATTTGCTGGTAGATCAGCCATGTACTCTACACGCGTGTGCAGTGAAATTTCAATTTCAAACGTGCAACTTGCACACCTGGCTTTTCTACCAGAAAGCGGTCCACCCTCGTAAAAAATAGCGAAAAGTTACAACAAAATAATGATCGTTTGTTAAACAACTTTTTTATTCGGGTGTCAAAAATTATGACACAAATCATCAGAGTTGGTCCGTCGATTTCATATGACTGTACAAAATTGGTTTTGTTGCAATCAGTAAATTTTGTGTCAGGGTGCAATTCATCGGTCTCAAATGAAATCAAAGGGACTGTGTTAGGCTCTACAACACTTAACTCTTCTCTTAAAGATACATGTGTGTTTACTGCTAACCAGGGAACTGTTTTGAAGACTGTTATTCCTCATTTTCAATGTACACCTGAACAGGCAGACAGGAATAATTTTTCATGTCTACAACATCTGCCAACATTTGAAGAAAGCTCACATACCAATCCAATCCAATCCTCAGACAGTGATATCTTTGAACTCTTGATTCGCCTCATCCAAAGACTTGATTGAGCTTAAATATTCAATGCAGTTGCCAAGGTCATTAGTGTTACGCCGTTTTAGCAATATTCCATCAGTATCACGGCACCGGAACGTGGGATTTACATATAGAGAATCGAACACGGGTCTTCGGCATGAGGAGCGAACCTTTTACCCACTAAGCCCTAAGTTGAGTAAAAAAAAAGAACAATGACATCTATCTATCTATCTATCTTATGCGTCCCAGGCGTTGTCGTTTGAAGTAAATTGTGATGCTCTCTACCGGAATTCTTATAAAGAGGAGGTTGAATTCATATGTAACATCCCAGCTAACTTGTGTGCACGTGAGTTGGTCAAGAAAAACAATCTTCTTTAAAAATTACACACATCTCCCAAAACCGAATCGATTTCTTCCGTGAGCCGCTTTTGTACATCCGGGTTCTTTGCCAGGGAGTAGGCACCAAAATGGAGGGTGTTGGCCATTGTTTCGTATCCAGCAATGAAGAATAACATAGCCTGACCTATTATTTCGTCGTTGGTCATTTCTGGAAAGGATACAAATATTACCTTAGCACAATAGCATACCCGGGTGTGTGTTTAACACAAAGCTAAAAATATGTTTTAGAGCTATATGGAATATGTTTTAGGTCATGCTACTGGTTGAACAACATATAAAATTAGTGGAACACTTTCAAGATGAACATGCTGTTATTATATTACATGATGAGTTTCAGTATATTTGAACAACTTCTGTAGTTGTTTAACATATCTAGCTTACGAATCTAGCTTACTTTTCGTCATTCGAAAAAGTAATAACGTAATAACGCTAATAACAAAAAAAAAAAACCAAACTTTTTTTCTGAGATCCACCTTGAGTGTCAGTCCCATCATCCTCTGCGTCCATCAGAAGTTGAAAGAAGTCTTGTCTTTTCATCTGCAACAGAAGCAGGGAAAGTTGGCTCTTAATAAACTCACACACATCAACACCACATGTAAGTCTTAGACATAATAATTACAGTTTTAAAGATTATGAATGAGTGAGTAAGTGAGTTGAGTTTTACGCCGCACTCAGCAATATTCCAGCCATATGGCGGCGGTCTGTAAATAATCGAGTCTGGACCAGACAATCCAGTGATCAACAGCATGAGCATCGATCTGCGCAATTGGGAACCGATGACATGTGTCAACCAAGTCAGCGAGCCTGACCACTCGATCCCTTAGTCGCCTCTTATGACAAGCATGGGTTACGGAAGGCCAATTTTCTAACCCGGACATTCACGGGTCTCAAAAATTATGAAAGAAAACACATCTGGTAAAAGGAATTGATAGTTTGGTGGTAGATGCAATTATTTATAATGCAAATCAAATTTTCAATTTGGCTGAGTACTTCAGTGATATAACGACGTACACGATATTGCGAAAGGAGTGAGTATGGTTTTAATCCGCTTTTAGCATTTTTTCAGCAATATCATGGCGGGGAACACCAAAAAGCTGTTGGGGTCCATTGTTTAGCTTCCATCTTTATTACATTTGTTGTTCTTACATGTACATGTATAGGCTCTGTGCCTCATACCATTCACTCACCTGATGAATGAGTGAGGATATACTGGGAAACGTGTTCCGCATAAGAAAGAAGTAAAAATCCATAAAACTATCTTCCTTGTGTGTATCCCTTGATTTTTTTATTTAAACATATTTTATTCACAAATGTGAAAGGGATTGGGGACAAGTAATCCAACTTAAAATACCCGCTCCCTAATATTTACATACATACATTTTCAATTATATACATATTAGGAAAGAATAGAGAGAAGAGATAGGAAAGTTAAGTAGAGGAAGGGATACAACTCATGTGATCACACAAAACGTTTTGATTGATGAATAAAAGTTTGCACACCTTTAAAAACGTATTCATTCTGTTGAATGGTCATATCAGGACTTCCAAATAACATCAATGACAATGTGATTGGAGAGTCTCGATTTACAATACTTTTTAACTTTAACATTAATATTTCCCTTTGGATGTTGTACAGTTTACATTCTATTAGGAAGTGATGTACATTTTCACAAGTATTGGCACAGTAACAAGAAGCTGAATCTTTCATGTTGAAACGATACAGATCATAATTTAGCTGACTAGTCATATATCTCAACTTTGTGTGTATAATATTTAATTTTCTAATTCCAAACGAGTAATATGATGGAGCTACAGGTTGCTCACACTTTAAGTACGACTTGAAACTTTGTAATGAAGGTCGATTTCTTTCGGTATCAGAAATATTATTCCACATTCTTACAGTTGATGGAAAAAAGGAATCATATGAAAGTCTTAACCTTGCAGAAGGTAGAATAATATTGTAAGCATTCCTAAGGTTATAATTAGATCTTGATCCAACACTATCTGGAGTAATATCTTTTAAGTATACAGGGGCTAAATCATTTTGAATTTTGTAGAATAGACAAAGTTTTCTTCTTTTTCTTCGTTCATCCAGCCTTTCACAGCCTGTCTCATAATATAGAATTTGACGTGAAGTATATCTAGGTAGACCCGTAACTATTCTGGCAGCTTCTAACTGAAGTTTCTCTAAATTTTATTCTGTTTTACAGTACAGCCATCCCATAATTCACAAGCATATTCAAAGTGTGGTCTGATTAATATCTTATAAATAGTATTGATTGTATTTCTGTTAAGTAAGTATTTCAATTTCTGCATTGATGATATCATTTTGGAGCACGACTTGATAATTTGATTAGTATGACAAGACCATTTGCCTTTTGCTTCAAATGTTATTCCGAGATGTTTACGATTGTTTACCAAATTGATTTGCTTTCCGTCAAAAAATAATTTCAATTCTTCAGTTTCATCAATCATGGAAAACAACACTGCTTCTGTTTTTTCAGGATTATATGAAACCAGCCAAGTTTTGCGTCAGCTATATAATATATCTAAATTGGTATTAAGAGAAGTTTCGATTTCTTTAGTATTTTTCGATGATTTTCCAAACGAGGTATCGTCAGCAAAAAGTCTTGTTACACAATCTAATTTATCAGCAATATCGTTAACATAGACCACGAACAAAAAAGGTCCCAATACTGATCCCTGGGGGACGCCAGCTGTTAAGTACCTGGGCTTGGATATAGCTCCGTTTACAAAGACGTGTTGACTGCGATCACTTATGTAACTCGATATCCATTGCAAAAGCTGGCCTCTAATACCATACATCTCTAATTTACGTACAAGCCCTTTGTGCCACACACGATCAAAAGCTTTGATACGTCGCAAAATACCATACAATATTTTTCTTTGTTGTCGAGAGATGTACAAATATGATGGTAAAGTTCAATTAATTGATGGACAGTTGAATGACCTGCTTGAAAGCCCGATTGGTACTTATATAAAAGTTTGTTAACAAGGAAATAGTTATACAAGTGTTTGTATACCACTCTTTCAAACAGTTTTCCTATGCAACTTATAAGAGAAATAGGTCTATAATTAGAAACAATAGATTGATCACCTTTCTTAAACAGAGGCATGACATATGCACTTTTCCACATATTTGGATACACACTATATTGCAATGATAAGTTGAACAGTAAACACAGGTGCTTGGATATGGAATAAACGGTATTCTTTAATAATTTATGACTTATTCTATCCGGCCCTGAAGCTTTGTTTAACTGTAAACATTTTATAACATCAGATACTTCCTTCTCAGGAATTACTATTTTATCTAACTGCATATTGGTCCTTGAGGGAAAATGTGGTAATGGTACATCTTTATCATTCAAACGGGAAATTGATTCGAAATATGTATTAAGTTTTTCAGCTTTTTCCAAATCAGAAAATAGCGTTGGAAATTCATCATCAACATTTTGCTTGAGAGGAGGAATATGAGAAGTAGAGTTTTTAACAATATAACGTAATAATTTCCAATATGAAGATTTATTTTCAGAGTATAATTCCAAAAGTAGGCCATTAATATTAGAGTAGAAGTTTTCTTTCGCATAACATTTCATGTTGTTTACTCTATTTCTCTGATGTTTATAAGCTTTTTTGTCGCTCTCTTTTTTTGTTTTCTTGGCCTTTCTCCGTAATCGGTCTCTTTTACGGGATTCCCTCCTCAAATTAGAGTCATACCATGGTTTGTCATTTGGACGAATAGTTACTATTTTTGAGAGGAATACATGATTTCACATGTTGAGTAAATTTGTTATAAAATAGTGAACAAGCATCATTAACATTTGAACATCCATTATATAAATCCTTCCATTCTGTATTTTCTATAAGATAATTGAGCATTTCATAATCACCCTTATTGTAACACCAGATTTCTCGCTTATAAGATATGTTGTTACATAACTGTGTACTTTATGTTTACATATGTTCCTCTGTGATCACTTATATTGCTATCAAACTCAACAACACCACTGTCAACAACATCAATGTCTTCACTGACAATTACCGGATCAAGCAAAGTACTGGTTGTTTTGGTAACTCTAGTAGGTTCAGATATAACATTTCTTAAATTTGTCATAACCAAGAGTTCATTTACATTAAGTTTTTAGCGGATAAGAGATTTTCATTTATATCACCAACAATAACAACCTTAGACGACATATCAAGAGCACTTTCAACGCTATTATCTAAGCGAGCCCAAAAGTCCAAAGAATTATACTCTGGTCGGCATACAGTACATAATAACAGCGAATTTTGAGGTAAATATATCTGAATCCAAATTGTTTCATCGTAGCCATTTTCAAGTTCTGGAATTCTCTTAAAAGTCAGGCTTTTATTAACATAAACTAGTAAACCACCCCCAAACATATTTCTGTCTTTGCGCACTGGCTCGTGAAAGTCTTCCCAGATTAGCATTTCAGTTTCAATACTGTCGTCTAAGTGCGTTTCCGTAAAACAAACAACATTGTGATCTGAATTCTCAATTCACGTACAAAGAGAGTTACATTACCACATGAAAAATGCGCATTAGTGACGCTCTTGAATCCAACCTGTATTCTAAATTTTACACAATTAAATACTCCAATCACCACACGGTGTTGCATTATATCATTACCCATGTAAATACTGGGAGTATAGTATATACTCAGACATTATTAGATAGAGATATGACATTATAAGATTAAACAGACATTGTATTATTATTTCATGTTGTCGGGAACAAATGTTGAATTTGAGTGTGATCACAACATATATAGGGGAAACAGAACGAGTACAGATAAGTAAACTTTTACAGATGGTTGATAGTACTTGAAGAATGGAGCTGATAGAGTAAGAACAAAGAGATTTGAATGGTATGATAGAGATAGAGAGGAGGAGACTAAATATCAAGGGATTCCTAACAACACAAAGAACTATCAAATAGCCAACGACACATAGAACAAGGAACATAAGACATTAAATCATGATTGTGGACATCAATAGTTTCGCATATACATACATGTATTTACATTGTGTCTACTTACAGGATATGTACAACTGAGTGGATAACACACTTAGTACAGTCACATATTGTCCAGGTGATCCAATTAAGTTCTATTTATATTTATTCAGGTTGGTCTCACACGAAATAACATGAGTTGCTCCCTCCGGCTGTTCTAGAATGTAAATTCGTCCATCGCGTGTCCATGTCGCCTCAATTTTTTTTCTTTTCATCAAGTCTCTCGTGCACTTGAAAAGTTTGCTCCTGTGTTGCGTGAGATCTTCATTTATGTACACTCCTGGATTGTTTGTTCTCAGGTTTGACCTGTTGATGATGACTTGTCGTTTATCCCAGAAGGACACAAACTTGACGATAATATCTCGTCGTTTCCCCGAATGTTTCCTGCCTATTCGGCGACTCCTGTCGATATCCGAGATACGGATGTCCGGGTGTACAGTTTTTAGCACTTCTGTTACCAGTTCGTCAGTATTTTCTCCCTCGTTCTCAGTAATGCCTGCAATTCTAATTGAATTTCTCCGGCTATACTGTTCTAAATCATCTGTTTTCTGTGTCACTTCTTTTCTGAGCAGCACAATCTCTGACTTGAGGGGTTCGATTTCGCCTTTGAATTTAGAGATTTCGGCTTGGAGAGGTTGAACAGCAGATTTAAAATGCTCAGTTATGAGATCGGTGGCTATCTTCATAAAAGCTTGTTAAAATTTCTCTTGTAACTGAGGCAGCATTAACGCACTAGAGAGTTTCGATGTTAATACATCTGTTCACGCATCATTAATAAATTGAAACACTGAGGTAGACAGAAATGGTGGTGATTTATCAGCATTTGGTGTGATAGTTCTGTTAGTACCTGGGCTTTCGGAAGCAGTTGTCTGTTTGGGCGTACTTGTCGATGTAGGTGACAACGCACTAAAGCTGTGTTCAGGTGGGGCTTGAAAGAATAGTGTCGGCTGTAACATCGGCTTTGATGACTTAGGCGGTTGATGTTCAACAGGTGACGTCTGTTTCCTTTTCTCACTAGCCGATCGCGAGCATGGGGTCTTCGGATCATTTGTTCGTTGTTTTCCTCTCGTGTGTATCCCTTCTAAATGCCATTCAAATACCGGAGTTCTTCTGGTTAATGCACACTCGGAAACATCAGATTCCATCCCCATCTCTTGGGTACCTACCTTTCCTTCCTTCAAATCAGCCTTCCGTTGTTCAATCATTTCATTCAGTACTTTCGAGAAGAACCTAAGAGTGGTCCTTGAAAACGTGCTCGCACCTAGGGCTCTGAACAAGGGGGTGAGAGCGGGAAAAATCACTGGAAATGTAAATTCAAAGTTAACAGCAATTATTCAATAACACAATTAAAATGACGAGCTTCCAAGGCCACTGGAGTTGCTTGTGGTGAATCATCATTGTAAACGCTATACATAGATTTTGGGGATACACTTTTATATTTGTTCCCTGCACTTTTCAAACATTAATTCAGCGAATTCCTGTTTTGTTCTCGATATCACACTTTGTATTTTTAGATATTTTTTTGGAAAACACTGCGAAGGTATTTGAGAGAAATTTTCAAAGAATGTGTCGTAAGATATGTCATTACTTAAAATCATTATAGTAGTGAGTGAGTATTGATTTACGCCGCTTTTATCAATATTCCAGCAATATCGTGGCGAGGAACGCCCCAAAATAGGCTTCACACATTGTACTTATGTGGGGAATCGAATCCGGGTCTTTGGCATGACGAGCGGAAAGTTTAACCACTAGGCTACATCACCCCCAATACATTTGTGAACTGTGGATCTTGGATTTCAAACAGTCCAGACGTACGCTGCCGGTGTACATTCAGTAGACACATGATCAAACGTCCCATATCCTGAGCTACAACTAAAGGAAACCACAATTAGCACAACACACTATTCACTTACTAACAATCATGACAAGAGGGTTTTGGATTCCTTCCCCAAAGAACTTCTTTGCCTCCTCAACAAAAGCATTTTTGAAGTCACTTTGGGAATCCACTTCGATCCGAAACGTTGTGCTTGATATGGCGTCCATTGTGAATGCACCAAAGTAACTGGAACGGAGTTCACATATTTCATTGTGCTTTCCTTATTACATAAGATACACTCGTGACGTCACTACGCCATGGAATCGTTCCAAGCCGGGGATCGCTTGGAGTTAGCAAATGAATCCCTTATCCCGGGATAGCAACAGCTCGAACCCGTGAAGATCCTGGTTAGAATTGTTTTTCAGTGACCCATGCTTTTCGTAAGAGGCGACTGACGGGATCGAGTGGTCACGCCCTCTGACTTTATTGACACACGTCAATGTATCCCAGTTGCGTAGATCGATGCTCATGCTGTTGGTCACTGGATTGTCTGGTCCAGACTCGATCGCTTGCAAGCGATTGGTTGCTTACAAGGCATCCTTGAATAAGCTGGAAAGCGCAATGTACCCGGTGTTTTACCACGCTTGCAAGGAGGCCGTTTCGACGCATAATCTCCGACTGCGTGAATGGATTTATTGAAATATAACACATGGATGGGCGTGGGCTGCGCGCTCCCTTCTGCTAGTAGTTTACTCCCATATATATTTTATACAAACATAGATACTTGACTATTAGGTCAAAAGATCATCCAAACTGATAAATAGTTCCCGATTTTCTGGCGAAATGTTACTTTCATGTGTTTGTTTGTTGTTTAGCACCTCACTCAGCGATATTCCAGCTATATGACGGCAGTCTGTACATAATCGATCAGTGACCAATAGCATGAGTATCGATCTACGCAACTGGGATACGATGACGTGTCAACCAAGTCAGCCAGCCTGACCATCATGGGCACACAGAAGGTAAACGTGTTCATGAAACAGTCTGCTGTCAGAGGTTAAGATTGATAACCCCAAATATATGAGAAGTCAGATGTTGTGTCGTTAATGATATTGAACTATTTGGACACGAGTGTTACACTACACCTACATATGAGTGAGTTGGGTTTTACGCCGCCTTTAGCAATATTCCGGCAATATCACGGCGGGGGACACCAGAAATAGGCTTCACACATTGTACCCATGTGAGTACCCACGCCTGAACCGCTAGGCTACCCCACCACCCCGCCTACATATGACATGATAAATACATGGTTAAGAGAAGTAAAGACTTACCGTTTGACATCAATACTTTGGTTTGATTCTGCCGCCTTAGCAAAGTTATCTGTAAGTATACAGGCGCATTGATCTATTCGGTCCAATATCTGAAATACAATTTCAGAACATACTTGTAAAATATTCGTTTCTCTTAACGTACTGAAAAAATCGGGAATAAATACATAACTGAAAATATTCTTACCAGGCTAAGTTTGGAGCCACTAAATGTTGGCGTTACAATATTCCTGATTCGTTTCCAGTTGGTGCCTCTCTCAAGGAGGAGACTTTTGTCCACTGGGTAGTTGTCTAGGTCCACATTCTGTAAGGTTATCAAACATTCTGTATGTAGAAGTGAGTATGTGATTATTCCATTCACGATGCGTTCTGAGTTATGGGAAAACACGCCAATGTCATACAAGCGCTTATCATTATGTGCACGTTAATGTTCAGCAAGCACACACACACAGAAGTGAGTATAGTTTTACGCCTTTTTAGCAATATTCCAGCAATATCACGTCGGGGGACACCAGAAATGGGCTTCACACATTGTAGCCACGTGGGGATTCTTTGACAGGAGACAAAAAGAATGGGTAGTATTTTGTTCCAGAATCGAACCCCGAGCCCACGTCCTTCGAACGGGTCCACGTCCCAATCTCAAGGTACCAAAGCACGCCCAAAGAAAACCTGGCCTTTATAAATCGGGATTACCCGATTATCTAGATGTAATATCTTAGCCTGTACGGGAGTTGTTATGTTAATCACTGCCTGCGACCAAAGAAATATTGAATAACTGTTACACTTATTCCGTGACTAAACTGTGTGAGGTAATGGTAGATCTTACTTGCAGGTAATCTCACAGTTGGGACTTCATGTCTGGGCCCGTGAAGATCCAGGTAGGATTGGTCTTCACAACCTATGCTTGTCGAGATCAGGGGGTCAGGCTCGCTAATTTTGTTGACAAATGTCCTTTGTGTCCAAATGCTTCTGCTTTCGATCACTCAATTTTCTAGTCCAGATTGCCGCCATATTGTGTTTGTGTTTGTGTGTGTGTGTGTGTGTGTGTGTGTGTGTGTGTGTGTGTGTGTGTGTGTGTGTGTGTGTGTGAGTGAGTGAGAGAGAGAGAGAGAGAGAGAGAGAGAGAGCAAATAAGGGTATACTGATCTGATACTGATTAATATCCCCCCAAACCGACAATCTTGACCGTTGCTCTCACTATCGACCACAGGTTTATCTTGACAAGGCTCGATTATTCAAAAGCCTTCGCCATGAAGCTGGACTATTGAGCGGTTTCCAATAAACAAATAAAAAACAATACATACATTATAATACACGAACAAGCGGTGGTACAACTGAAAGAGAACAATACGTCATAGGCGGCATTATGTAGTCTAAAATAATGAGCAAGGGAGGGAGTAGAGTTTAGGGCCATTTTGAGCGTCGTCAATATCTCTGTTATTAAGGGCATATTCGATGCTTGTGGAAATCGATAGCTTGATAGTCTGACAGACTGAGTTCAGTTTTACGCCGCTTTTAGCAATATTCCAGCAACATCACGGCGGGGGACACCAGAAATGGGCTTCACACATTGTACCCATGTGGGGATTCGAACCCGGGTCTTCGGCGTGACGAGCCAACGCTTTAACCACTAGGCTACCCCACATCCCCAGATTGATAGTCACAAAAGCACAAATGGTGGAATAACTAAGCGTAATCTATGGCATTTTCAACAGGGCTGCCATGGTCCCATTCCGTTAGAACTTAAACCTAAAGATATAACACCGAAAGAGCGACATACCCGAATACTTTACCATACTCTTCCCAGTCTTTGTTGTTCGGACCCTGTAACAAGGAGTGAGTGAGTTTAGTTTTACGCCGCTTTTAGCAATATTCCAGCAATACCACGGTGGGGACACCTATGCGGAGAATCGAACCCGGGTCTTCGGCGTGACGAGAGAACGCTTTAACCACTAGGCTACCCCACCGCCCCCCTGAGTTATTTGAATCTTTGTGAGTGTATATTTTAAAAAACAACAAAATAGTTTCCACGACATTCATTAACTTGTAATGAGAAGCAAGGATACGATGTAAATATGAGCTACGAACCTTATTATTCTTCCGGGCGAATAATATTCACAACCATTACTTTTGAAGACGGTCTAATCGAGATTAAACTATAATCTAACCTTTAGAACAAACTGATGGAAGTTCCCGATATAAATGACAGGCTCCGGACCAGGAATACCAGCATCCTTGAACAAACGGTTCCTCGTCTTTCCATATCTGAACATAATGTAAGACACAGTCAGATAACAAGGTTAGGGATTGCCAAGCCAGCTGCAATATGATACTTCATTTTACGAAAATGATTTGTACTTTTGAAACTAATATCCATCGAATATTAGTAACAAACTTTTTCATGAGAAGGAAAACGTTAAAAGGTTTTTGTAATATTAATTTTAGGTCTTAATTCAGATGAACTTATCTGACAGTGGGTAAATTAGATAAACATTACAACAGAAACTTACACATATTAGATCCTTAATGTGAGGAGGCCTTAAGAAAGGAGTTTAGTCAACTATCTCTTTCTTATTATAAAACAGTGCATGTTTATTTCGAGATATATTTGTACTGACTTTAATATGAATTCCAATAAAGCGTCATACCAAAAGACGTTATAATATGGTACTTGTTGGTCGGCATTAATGGATACATACAACAAAGATTGGTCGGCTCGGAGTCAATATGTGTCTGAGTGGGGTATCTCAGTGAGCTAGCACTAGAAAATCAGCACATATACACACTCATACACGTCGTCATATGAGCGCCCAATTGCGCAGATCAATGCTCATGATGTTGATCACTGGATTGTCTGGTTGTCTGACTCGATTATTTACAAACCGCCGCCATATGGCTGGAATATTGTTGAGTGCGACGTAAAACTAAGCTCACTCACTCATATGAGCGAAATATTCTTAAGTGCGACGTTAAACCCCATTTCACCTCACCTCACCTCACTTCCAAATAACATCTGAACCAAGAATAATTAATACTAAGCAAGCATTCAAAATTCACATCCTTCACTCCCTTAGGGCTTTAAACTGTCCAATTTGTCTCCACTTTATTCCCCCACCCCACCCCGCCACTCCCTACATTTCATTTACACAATAAACGGGGGTATTTGTTGCAATAATACGATGTCACATAAATATATTAATGAAAAAAAAGGAAGAACCTGATTCAATAAAGTACATGTTTTGACATTGTACCTTTTTCACTTTTACAATCTGAGGCAAAGATGCATCCGTGCTTGTGATATGACCCCTTTGACATTTCTTGACAGGCTAACGGCCCTCGCCTTGTAAAAAAAAACTGCCTGTGTTGCCACTATTGGGCTGTCTTCAGAAGGAATGATATCCTGTAGATATTCATTAAAGCTCATTAGTGAATCACTTATCCAATAAGTTTACTTACGCATAAATTAGAAACAAAACCGCTTTCCACAGAATCCATGTTGGAGAGATGTCAACAAAGCTGAGTATCTCCATGGTGAAGTGTCTCAAGGCAAATCGTACTTTTCCGAGAAAAAACCAAAAACACACCCTGAAACAGCTCTGCCAAGAACAGTGTACTAGTGCCGATTCCCGAACAACAAACTGCCCCAAGTGTCGTTCAGTGAACGTCTGGCTGCGTGCTGAAGGCTGATACCTGACCTGCTGGGTTAAATGCACCCCCTATGCCATCTGAGCGTTAGTGGCTCGGCTCGGTCATGGGGACTATCAAAACGGTTTATGAGGATTGTATCGAAACGGTGTAGGTACAGGTTAGATCAGTACTTGATGTCCCAGACGCAATTAGACACCAAATTCCGAGTGATTTATCTTATTTAAAGCATGGCAATAGCACAAAAATGTTCAGTATTTCTGTAAAATAAAAAAAATATGTGTCCGAAATCAGTAAAACGGTTGGTACTATATGGTTTACTTCACGTGGACTTTGGTAGGAGGGTCACCCCAAACAGACTACATGTTGTTGTATCATTGTATAAACGCATTCCGGGGCTTATAGAGCACTGCATGTAGCCCTAAACGAGGACTATCAAACCGTAAAGCATAACTTGCCGGCTGTGTCATTCTGGACGAGTTCAGCGGATTAGAGAGCTCTGACAACAGCCCTTAACCGGGATTGTCTGGAAGTTAAGCACGAAATGTTCGTGCATTTCCTGTCGTCGCATTTGATATAAACATGAGGCGAGGTTAAAAACGGTCGCCGAGAGCTAAACGCCAGTCAAAGATGTCGGATACGAAGTCAGACGAATATTAATATAATATTTTCATCAAGGAGTGTATTGTCTTGAGAAAATGACTGAAATGCAAATGAAGTCTATATCATTACTCATTAGCAGCAGTTGTGATGTTATAGAATTGTCAAAAAACTTCTTGTGGTAAATCAAACACATTATAATGACATTGTTCAGTATCCAACCCACACGTTTCAGCCTACTGCTGGGCGGATGTGTAAAAATGCATAGCTCCGATCCAAGAAGCGTCCGTAACGTTACGACCTGTCATAGGTTTCCGATTGTCGTAGCGCTACGAACGTTTTGTGCATCGGCACCCTGGATATGAAGATAAGGGAATACGGTTTCTCGAGTTTGAGTGAGTGAGTGATTTTAGTTTTACGCCGCTTTTAGCAATATTCCAGCAATATCACGGCGGGGGACACTAGAAATGGGCTTCACACATTGTACCCATGTGGGGAATCGAACCCGGTTTGTTTGGGGGTAACGAGCGAAAGCTTTAATCACTGGGCTACCCCACCGCCCCTCTCGAGTTTGAAGCAGCAGTCGTTACGATGTTGTAATTAATATGTATAGGTTGCAAAACTCGCAACACCTTACCTAAGAAACGCTCCAAAATGTATACATGTATTTACAGTGAGTGAGTGAGTGAGTGAGTGGAGTTTTACGCCGCACTCAGCAATATTCCATCTTTATGGCGGCGGTCTGTGAATAATCGAGTCTGGACCAGTCAATCCACTGATCTACAGCAGGAACATCGATCTGCGTAGTTGGGAACCGATGACATGTGTCAACCAAGTCAGCGAGCCAGACCACTCGATCCCGTTAATCGCCTCTTACGACATGCATGGGGTACTGAAGATCAATATTCTAACCCGATACAAAGGCAGCGTATTTGGCTATGTACAGTATAAAAGAGTTACAATTCACCCCTATACGACTGGTCAACCGAACTAATGTTGTCCTATTTTGTCAGGCTTCTACAGTAATCGCCCTTCTACAGTAATCACCCAACGTGCGCAACTCCTTGAAGGCGGCTAACGGCATTGGGTGGTCGGGCTTGTTGACGTGGTTGACATCGATGCCCATGATATTCATCACTGGATTGTCTGGTCCAGACTCGATTATTTACAGAGCACCACCAGCACGATAAGAAGAGACTACACGTTGTTTGAGCTGTACAGCAGCATCTTAATCGGAACAATGTCAATGCATTTCCCTGGCCAGCAAGATCCTCTGATTTGCCAACCACTGAACACGTCTAGGATGAAATGGCGCGCTGTTTCCAAATTCAAAACGTGGCAGTCGTTGGACATCATACGGGCTCACAGGCTTGGTGTTAAACGTGAAAATGCAACACGACCTCGCCCAATAATTGCTAAGCTACAAAATGTCTGACGACAAAGTTCGAGCGAGACCCACATTCAAGGAAGGAGGTCTTGGAATTTCGAGTGATCCTAAGTCACGTCAACGTCAGCAGTTGCAGGCGCTTAAGGGGACTAACAAGTGTGGGTATTTCAAGGAGGGACGGTTGATAACAAAGCCTCGCACACTAGAAACAACACCAACTTCGGCGATGTCTGGCACTACAGGAGACAGAGGATCAGGAGACAGACGATCAGGAGACAGACGATCATTGCCAAGAAGATCGCTTGTTATGGAGATTGTACGTGTGCTTCTAACATTTTTAGGAAATACAATTATAAATCGCTACGCGTTTTGAATCAATACTTTTACATTAACATGTTATTAATTTATCATTTGGCGACACAGACACAAACACACATACACAAGACACAGACACAAGACACAGACAAACACACATACACAGACACAAACACACAGACACAAATAAACACGAGGCACAGACACAAGACACAGACACCAACACACATTCACAAGACACAGGCACAAACACCAGACACAAATACACCAGACACAAACACACATACACACTAGACACAGACACAAACACATACACACATACAATAGACAGAGACACAAACACACATACACTAGACACAGACACAAACACACATACAATAGACACAGACCCAAACACATACACAAGACACAGACACAAACACACATACATTCGCACAAGACAGTGACACATATATACACGAGAGACAGACACAAACACACATACACAAACACACAGGCACAAGACACAGACACAAACAAACATACAAGAGACACAGACACATATAAACACGAGGCACAGATAGAAACACACAAGACACAGACACAAGACATAGACACAAGACATAGACACAAATACACAGACACAAGACACAGACACAAACACAGATACACACAGATATATTTGCACAAGACACAGACACATATATACACGAGAGACAGACACAAGACACACACACAAACACAAGACACAAGACACAAACACAGATACACACAGATACATTTGCACAAGACACATACACATATATACACGAGGCACAGACACAAGACACAGACACACATATACACGAGGTACAGACACAAGACACACACACAAACACACATACACAAGACACAGACACAAACACACATACACACAGATACATTTGCACAAGACACAGACACATGTATACACGAGGCACAGACACACGACACACACACAAACACATACACAAGACACACACACAAACACACATACACACAGATATATTTGCACAAGACACAGACACATATATACACGAGGCACAGACACAAGACACACAAGACACACACACAAACACACATACACAAGACACACACACAAACACACATACACACAGATACATTTTGCATACACAGACACAGACACACGAGGCACAGACACACGACACACACACAAACACATACACAAGACACACACACAAACACACATACACACAGATATATTTGCACAAGACACAGACACATATATACACGAGGCACAGACACAAGACACACACATAAACACACATACACAAGACACAGACACAAACACAGATACAAG